ATCCCTGCATTCCCCGACTGCCGGCAGCAAGTGGCCTCAGGTGTGATGGCTCTGTGGTGCCACGATCAAGGTGGGTTTATCTCCACCAGGCCACCTGTTCAGCTCAGGTCTCCTGACCCATCTGCTTAGGACTGACCATAGAGCCAGAGGGGTAGATGGGAAGCCAGGGGCAACAGAGGGTCTTGCAGACCTTGTGCTCTTGTGACATCCCTGGAAACCTTTCCTCCACTCCACTTGCTAGGTAGGAAGTCTTGGATCAGTGTCTCACCCACTTGAAGAAACCAGCAGATGCCACTGATGGGTGGCCCTGTCCTAGGCCTTTGTGGGCGGTAGAGGCAGCAGGGTCCTCATTGAAAGCATTCAGCACTCGTTTTGTTTTTCTCCAAGTTTTCTGTGTCTGTGTGATTGGAATGAAACATCAACTTTTTTTCGTTTTTTTCATATTTCAATATTGGCTTCTTTCCTTCCTTCTTGAAACCTCCTTTTATAACTTCTGCTGCTGCTTAAATATAGATGTCTAAGTCCTCCTCCTTACCAGATTGTTTATATTTTTGAAAGCCTTCTGCTTATCTGTGGCTGCTCCCTCTTCTCTCTCTCTATCCCTACTTTCCCACATGGGTGTTGGTTGCTCTTTTTCCCCTGCCTTCTCTTAACTGGGATGTGTTTCAAATGTGGTCTATCAAAATGTTCAGTGTTTCCCTCTTTTTTGCAATAGCGTTGACATCTGTTCTTGAATGCTAGCCCACGTTATTCCTTTAGACTTGTTTGCCCAAGATTTGCTTTTATGCCAGAAATACTAAAAGGAGAGTGTGGTGTGGTAGCATCTCTTCCCCTCCAATCCCTTGTCCCTCCTCCTTTTTAAACTGTCTATGATTTCTAAGTTGACAGCACACTGGATGTTTGTTCCAGCTCTCTGTCATCTTGTCTGGCTGTGGGCCACCTCAAAGTGTTACCAATGTATCATTTGCCAGGAGGACTATCAGGCCCTTTGGGTTGTTTCCACCAAAAAGAAGTCACTTCAGTGTCACTTCAGGCAGTGGGTGGAGAAGGACTTCAACTTGCACCCTGGATATCAGTGGATGGCCTACTTGGCCTTTCAGTTACTATTTATTAGGCCCTTCTTGTGCTCACCTTGCAAGGTGGTGGGTCCTGCTATATGGGACACCAATATGGAGCAGCCACCTTGAGTCCCAAGCAGAATGAGCTGCTGTCCTCAGTAACTGAAGCCGTTCAGTGAGACATTAGGCCTGTCAGTTGTGATGGCCACATGCCCTGTGCTCCTGCCATGAGCCTGGAGCACCATCCCAGGCCCATCTGCCCCAGGCTACTTTGGAACAACTCCTTCTGGCAGCTCCTCCTGGAATTTCCAAGGCTACTGAGAGTGTCAGTTACCATGTACAGCAGAGCCCAGAGCCTACCACTCTGGCAGGTCCTCTTCTGGGGACCCAGCCCTGGTGGTCCTCAGAGTCTAGGGCAAGTTAGATGTTTTTGAGAATCGCTGCCACTGCCAAGTGCTGTGCTTCTGAATAGTTTACAAGATAGGGTAAATAATTACTCTTGGCATTTGTCTTTTAAAGTTCTCTCTTGCAAACTAATAGCAGGTTAATGGTCCTGAGCATGATGCCTAGCCTAAAAAGTGAGCTCACGGTAAATATTTGTGGCTGCCTAAAATCCCAGGCCTGTGTTCTGGTAGAACAAACAGAATGCTCATGTTTTGCAGGGAGCCATAACTAGGAGAATGACCGGAAAGATATTGCCAAGAGCAGACAAGGAGCAGCAGCTCCAGGGAGGACATCACGGGGACACTAGCTGGTTCTAGCAGGGGACTGTTTTTGTGTTTGCATCATAGGCAGTCATTTATGTAGCATGTCCAGTGTCATGCAAGTTTGGCTTCTTCTGGCCAGTGCCAGTGGGATGTGTGTGGGGTGGATGAACTGTGCTTTCTGCCCTTGCTGTTGTCCCCCAGCCCTACTCTGCCCAAGCTTGTTAACCTCTGGGGTCCTGGGGTTTTCCTCAGCATTCTGCTCAAATGTACACATGATCCCCCTAGCAGAATGTGCAATTACAGTCTTGTTTATCCTTTTTGTGTATATTCACAGAGAGAACTTGATGCCACCGCAACAGTATTGGCGAACCGGCAAGATGAGAGCGAGCAGTCCAGAAAACGGCTCATTGAGCAGAGCCGAGAGTTCAAGAAGAACACTCCAGAGGTGAGGCAGAGCTCTTCGGTGAGCCCTCAGAAAGGTCTTGGCATCCTGGGACATATTCAGAACACACGTATAAGCATTTTGTGTTTGAGCAGATGAAGGCAGGGCAAGTTCTTCTTTGTTCTGTTGTCCCTGCCCCATCCGAGCGAATTGCATGTCTCCACATAGGCCATGGAGATGTCATGGTTGATAGATTGTCCAGAAAATTCAAAGCACCTGCTAATTCCATATGCAGACATTGAGCAAGCTAGGTGTATGAGAGCATGTGGCCAGGTATGCAGACATGTTAGACCCTTGAGCTCATCCTAGTCTTGGTGGACACTGTGGAACCCAAGATCTCTGGGCCAGCTTCCCCAGTGCTGGGTAGCAGAGTGTCTGAGGTACATGCATCCAAGGTTGGTATCTTGCCAGTACTTCTTGTAAAACAGACGTTTCATCTGCTCCAGCCTTTTAAACGCCTCTCTGTTCCTTGAAATATACTGTAAAGGGCACTGTGAATGTGCTCTTTACTGCTCTTGGTTTTTCTAATATGTGTGGGGAGGCCAATGCTTAGAATGGCTAGAGTAGCGTCCCTTTAGTCGGTCTTCAGGGTCCCTTATTTTCTTCAGTGCTTGTCACAGATAAGTAAGAAATGCAGAGAACCCAAAGAGCTCCAGAGGGGTATGCAAGTGTGGGAATTGCTCTCTGGGGCACAGCTGATTTAGCCTGCCAAGATCTTGTGCCCTGGTGCTTCCACCAGCCCAATGGCACATGAGTGGGTTGCAGCTGCCACAGGCCACTCAAGTTTTCTGTGGTTCTCAGGTAGAACAGTGGAACATCTTCAGAGGAAAAGCCATTTTCTGGAGCAGATGCCCCTAAATTGTGATAAAATATTCTTGAAAAGTTTTATTAGACCCCAAATACAAATACACATTGGTTCTTGGGGTGACCACCCTCTGTGTGTCTTTTGGGAGATGGCCTTGCCAGGAGTAAAGACAGGAGAAGACTAGGTACTCGGGATAGCCCTCCCCTTCCAATTGCCTTGAGTCTCGGGCTACTTCGGTGGAAGCCTGCTGGAGGGAATGGTGGTTTCCTTGGCTCTCAGACTTGAGTCTGTTTCTCCAGTCAACTCTCTTCATGTCCATCTCATGGAAAACTCTTAGCCATACCACTAGCTGGCTGTTTTCTCACCACCCTTCCCGTGGTGACCCTATGTCCAGGGATTTCCACAGCAAACTAGAAGAAGGACCACAGACAGAGGGTAAAGAAGCATAGTCTGTCCTATTTACTGCAAAGATGATAGAGTACAGAGCTGGCCTCTTGTGCTTCTTCAGGGTCTGGACTCCTTCTTGGCTAGTAATAGCAAGGTGTGTTCTCCCCTGGCATTGTCTCATGCTGGGTTGACAGATATTGACAGAACTGAGCCCTGTCCCTACATCTAAGCACCTAAACAGGCTCTGTTCTTCAGAAACTAGGGACAAGAGGGACATGTGCTGGAGGCCATGCACTTTGGATCTTTACTTCTCCTAATCACAAGAAGCAGAAAAGGCTAGAGGGGAAAGCAGCCAATTGGTAAATGCCATTGGGGCATTTCTTTTCTGATCTCACCTTTAGACTTTGTCTTCCATGGAGAAGGGGACTCTGGGTTGAACCTAAAAGGAATGAAAGTATCATTCGTGTGTGGCTGGTCCAGCCTGTGCAGTGGTCAAGGATTATACCCACTTGGCATCTTCCACTGTGGGGAGAGCCCTGTGGTGGAAGTTTCTGGGAAGCCTGGGGGGAGCCATATGCAGGCTCCTGCCCCATGGCTAGTACTTCCAGATTTGAGTGTGAAAATGAAGGTTGGTTGGAGCTTTGCTCAGGGGCTAAAAGAACATTGGTATATTATGCAGGAAGGCATCCCTTCCTTGTAGTCATGGCACGGTCCTCTCCTGCTGCTGGCCCATTCAGGGCCAGGCCTTTGCCCCAGGACAGCCTGCAGGGGAGGGCAGGCCAGGCTGGTTCATCTACGTGCTGGTGTTATACCATTTATGTTAAGTCCTGATGAAAATGTCCCTGTCCATTTTTGATCTGGAAGAGGGGAAATTTTCTGTGTAGTTTCTGCGGAAATTCTATATGCAGGATTAGGCACCCTGAGAATTCAGACAGGAGTCCCTTTCTTTTCTTGGTCCCTCAGCAAAGTTTATGTTTTCTTAGACTGACCCTTCTCAAGGGTGACCAGGAAGACTGCCAGCCTAGGAGGAAAAGGCTGGGCCAAGATGGGCAGGTGGGCAGGGGCAGAAAGGGGACCTTGAAAGCTGTGGAGGGGCTATGTAGCTGGGGTGCTGTGTGGCTAGCCAGGGCTCTGACAAGCATGAGGAGCCCCAGGAACCCAGGAGGGGACCTGACATGGCTGGGGCATTGAAGATTTTTTGTTTGAAATGAATATTTTAAGTTTCAGTTTTATCTTGCATCTTTTTAAATCTAAAAATTGTGGTTAATTTGAAAGAGATTAATTACTCTAAAAATAAAGATGCATTTTCTTGACATCAGCAAGCACCCTTTTCGAAGAAAGGCCATTTAAATATTTTTTGGCTAAACATTCATTCTTTATTGAATTAATAATCACCTAATAGAACCTAATAGATGATGGAACGTTTCTAGGGTCTGTTGCTTTTCCTGTTTTATTGCAGGTGACTCACTTGCTATGTGTCTTTAGGCATAGTTTCAGCTTTGTCATCTATTAAAAATATAATGCCAGGACCCAGCTCATAGTGTCGCTGTATGTACAAGCAGGTACATACATGTGTGTTATGTGTGCCCACATGCACGTATGTATAAGCACTTGTGTGTGCATAGATAAATGGGGGGGGGCTCCACACAAGCCTGGCACCTAGAGCCCAGTGAGTATTTATTATTAGTATTAACTTCAAACACTCACTACATAATGTGTTGGAGGCAGTTGAGGGACTTTGAAAAAAGCTAGAACAAATATAGGTAGTTTCAGCTTAAAGTATTCCAAGAGTTGGTTTATAATAACAGTTAATCATTTTATAAATATTTATGGAACACCTTCCATGCACCAGATGGTTTGGCCCTGGGGAGAAAATCCTATCCCTGTTCTTAAAAGTTTCTTATCTTTCTCACCAGGCAGTAGAACAGGGCGATGCCTCATGCTGAGTGCTAAGATCACATAGCTGGCGTCTCCTGACTGCGCACTTTCCCCGCAGAACTCTTATGGCTGTGGTGAGAATATTCTCTGGAGAAACCAGATGAATCAGATGGCTCAGTCACCCTCTGTATAGATAAACAGTTCTCCCTTTTTGTTGTTATTGCTGGGAATGTAGCTACCACTGAGTTACATCCCTGACTCTTTTTTATTGTTGAGACAGGGTGTTGCTTAGTTGCCCAGGCTGGCTTCTGGAATTTGTGTGTCCTCCTGCCTCAGCCTCCCAAATAGCTGGGATTATAGGCATGTACCATTGCACCCAGTGTCAATTTTGCTTTCTGAGCCTTCTTCCTCCTTCTTCTTTTTCCTCTCCTACTCCTACTCCTCCTCATCTTCCTTCTCTTCATCCTCCCCATGTCCTCTGTCACCCATCGCTTCCTCATGCCCAGGGAAAGAGAAGATAAGCAAGGGAGGAAGCGTGGGCTCCAGAACTCCAGAACAGGTGAGCGAGACACACCAGGGTCAGACTTCTGTGCAGAGTAGCTGAGTCCTTGCTTTAGGTCTGGGTGCTGGGGAGTAGGAGATAGATGGAGGGACGGGGTCACCTCTACTGTGACCAAGGATTCTGCAGCCTGGTCATAGAATGTACAAGAGCAAGCAACAGCTTTCTGGAAGCCTGGTAGTGGTGTGTGTGTGTGTGTGTGTGTGTGTGTGCGCGCGCGCATGCGCGCGCACACTCTGGGAGGCTGAGGTAGGAGGATCAAAAGTTTGAGCCAAGCCCAGGCAACTTAATGACTTACTTAGAGAGACCCTGTCTCAAGATAATAAAAAGCTCTTGGAACGTAGTTCAGTGCAAAGGCCTTGGGATCAATCCCTAGCACTGAGGGAGAAGGGAAAGAGAAAAGAGAGAGGAAGGAAGGAAAAAAGTGTGTATTCCAGTACAAGCCAACAGACTGGCTTCTACTCTATAAGACTTCTCAGCCTTCCACATGCAGCTGCTTTTCTCTTTCTTTGACCAAGGTTCTGGCTGAACTCTATGGTCCTGCCATAATGATTCCAGTAGCCTCCTGGTTTTGGGTGCCTATGGATAGGCAAGACCACAGGCACTTGAAACCTTGAGTCACTTCTCATCAAGTATCACAAGAGGGTGGCTCCAGGGTTTCAATTTTCTACCTAGGAATTGCTTTTTTCTTGCTTTTCCATTTGGTTTTGTTGACATTTGCTTTTCAGATCAAAGTTTGGTCCCATTCCTGCTTCTTGGTTGTCCTGGGACTCGAATCCAGGCAGTCTGGCTGCTGAGGCTGTGTTCTTAGTAACTCCTCCATGAGATGAGCAATGACTCCGTGGGCTGGGGATTTAGCTCAGTGGTTCTGCCGCCTGCCTCATAATGACTCCGTGTAGCAGAGGCTCTTTGAGTGGAGTCTTAGACACTGACCTGCAGTAGAGCTCACTTAACTCTGCTGTAGGTAGATATGAGGGCAGAGTGGCTAGTGAGGTTGAAGGCCGAGTGTCCCAAGGTGTATGCCTCATCACTCCTGTGACATGGGCCTTGACTCAGGACTGTACTGTTGGAGGGTGTTGCTTGACTACCACACAGTGGTCTTTGCACAGGGCTGGCCCCCAGAAGAGCCTGGGGCATACTTTTCATTTTGTTTTGCTTCTGTGCTGTTCAGGGAGAACTATCCTCCCCTGAAGAAAGGAGGGAGAATGGCATTCTTAGGGGCATGATTTCACCATCAGACTGTCCCAGGGTACATCTTGGTCATGTCAGCATGTCCAGCTCTGCCCTAGATTGTCTCTAGGATATTTGTTTGTAAGGCTCTCTTGGGTAGTTTTTGTTTCCCTGGCAGTGGGCCATTCTGCTGCTGTGCAGAAAGCCAGGCTGCCCTACTGGGCAGTCCTTGATAATCCCTGGTGTATTTTTGCCTAAACATCTCTTGCTCACTGGAGCATGAATCTTACTGACGCCTGGTCTATGGAACTCGAAGTCTGTATCTGTGCTTCCTGCATCTGTCCTGACCACCACACGTGATGTTTTCATGTCACCTTCCCTTGCTCCTGGAGTCAGTAGCAGAGGTCAGTTTTAGCCCTGACTATATGGGGCCCAGCTGCCTGGGAGTCAGGCTTAGGGGAAGACCTTCTTCCTCCTTACTGTCTCTCCCAGAGCAGGTGAGCCCAGTGTGATGTCAGTCGCAACTCCCATGGCCTTCCACCTGCCCCAGAGTGCCCAAATTGTGACAGGGTGTATTTTCTGTAGCACTGACATAACAGTCACTCCTTGGCTTTATTTTCTGAGTGCCAGCTCTTACCTTGGTCTCTACTTTGGGCTTGGAGTGTTTTTCTGATTTTACTGCTTGGGCAACAGTTGTAAAAAGTCAGGCTTTGGATGTGTTTTGAGAGACCACTTGGAATGACATCATGTGCCATCATCACAATGAATAGATCTTCCAGTGCCTTCTGGACTCTGAAAGGTGGCGCTGGGATGGGGCCTCTACTCTTTATGATCAGGAGGAGGTAAGTGTTTGCCAGGTCAGGTGCAAAGCAAAGGGCCCACTGCCATACATCTTTGCAGCTAGTTTCTGTGGAGGTGAGGAAGACAAAGAATAGGAAGATACTGTGGACTTTAAGATGTGTCTCCCACTCCCTGGGAGAAAGGAAGGGGAGGCAGTGGAAGCAGTAATATATAGACATGGCCAGGACCCAAGTGCATTTAGTCACTCCTCAGCAGCCTTTTATAGATGCTGTAGGAGTGACTCAAGTCTGGAAAAAGAGTCACTTAAAATAAAGTGGCCACTCCAGTGGACATGTCACACAGGCTATGGGGCTGGCTGGGTAGTGCCTGAAGGGTGTCCAGGCCCTGCAGGGATCCTGGATGAGGCATGTACTCAGGAGAACGACATAGTCACACTGGGCTACATGCCACATCGATGCTTTTCAAACTGCCAACCAGCATATATACATATATGCACATGTGTGTGTATGTACTGCCAAACTCTCAGTGCTTCTCTTGTTTTCAACAAATTGCCAGGCCATAAGGGCCTGTATGACTTGAGTTTCCCATTCAGGCTTCATATTTGTTTTGGTCCCAGACCACCACATGCAACGTAGTACACACACCAGCATCACTTTCCTTTGTCACCTTGTGCCCATTGAGCTGGCTACATTGAAGATCCACAGCACTGATTTGACAGACCATGGCTTTTAGGAAAGAGGACTGGCTAGTTGTGTCCTGCTAAACATGACCCCTTGGTGAAGGGTAGCTGTGGCCAGGAAATCTCTTAAGCTGGAAGACAGAGGCACAAGTGGTCAATGCCATGGATTTATTTGCACACCTTTCTACATAAGCAGGCTGCCTGTCTGGGGGGATGAAGAAGCTGGTGCAGCCCCTCTGCTGATTCATCAGCTCTGTCATAGTCGCTCTCTCCCACTTCTCAGCCTCAAGGGGCTGTGTCTTGTACCTTCAGTCCCATGGATACTGAGTCACTGCAGCATGAGATGTCCTGTCCTGTTAATAGCATTCACGCAGGAGTCTTTTTTTAAAAAACAGAAGAAATTTTTAAAATGTTAATTATGTCATTCTATAAGATTCATTTCCCAAACAGGGAGATAATAAATAAAATTTTATTTGATGCTTCATTTTATATAATTTTTTGTCTAAAGTAAAAAATAAAATAAAGGAATTTAAGAACTGTCTTACTTTGGCAATTCCTCAGAAAGCTAAATATAGAATTACCCTATAGCTCAGCAGTTCCACTCCTAGGTATGTAAAAACACTCCCCAAAACACAAATACATTCACGGCAGCATGATTCAGAATAGCCAAAATGTAGAAGCAGTCTAGATGCCCACTAGCAGGTGAATCAATAAGCAAAATGTGCTCAGTGCATATCATAGAACATTATTCAGCCAGTAAAAGGAATAAAGTATTTGAGTCATGCTACAACATAGATGAAACTTGAAAATATTATGCTAAGTGAAAGAAATGAGACAAAAATGCCATGATTCACTTTCTACGGCTAAAATAGGTAAATCCACAGAGACAGGAAATAGATTACTTTTGCCAGGGGCTGGGCAGGAAGGTAGGGGAGAATGACTAATAGTGAGTGTATGGTTTCTCATCTGGATGATAAAAAATGTTCTAGAGTAAGACAGTGATCATAGTTGCACGCGTATGTGTACCTGTTAAATACCACTGAATTGTGCACTTTAAAAGGGTGAATCATATGTAAGTCATTTTTCAATTAAGCCATTATCTGTTAGAAATCTGTCTTTTGGTGGGGGTCTGGGGAATCCCTGGACAGCTTTTTTATAAAATCTGTTATATTCTTGTCTGCTCCAAAGAGTCTCCCCATTGGAAAGTGTCTTGTGAATTTTCACTTCTGCAGTGGCAGCCTAGTTGACAAAAGGCCACTCAGTATCAAAATTATAAAGCTCACATAATAAACTTGGCTGTTTAATCATTCTGTATCACCCACCATTAAGTTATAAGACTTTAACTAGAAAAGTTTAAAATTAAAAGTGAACTTTTAACAGTTACCAATTAAACTTGATGAGCCAATTTATCAACTCAAGAAGTTATTTTCTCAGTTCTTAGAAGTCCCTAGGGGAGAAGCTGCCTTGAATGTGACAGAGTAATGAATACAGTTCTAGCCTAGTCCAGCTCCTGACAGAAGTGGTGGGTGGCAGCGTTGTGCCCCACATTCTAGAACAACCTCCAGCATATCTGAGAGGGTGCCATGGAGGCCTGAAGAGCAGAATAATTCACTGTTTTTTGTATATCATGCAGTCATCAAATTTTAGCTCCCCTGTCAGCTGTATTGGGACAGAAACTTCGCCTCAGGTCCTTCATTTGCAACAGTACACTCTGCAAGAGGTTTCAAAAGGTCCTTGATGTAAATGTCTAGTCCCAGGCTGGCAGCATGGATGTTCAGGCCAAGTGACCCTGGGCAAAGTCACTAACCATCCTGAAACTTGGACCTCCTCCCCATTTTTTGCAGCATTAGGATTGAATCCAGCTGCACTTGTGATTTTGGGGCAGGGTCTCACTAAGTTGCCTAGGTTGGGCTCACTCAGACTTACATTCCTCTTGCCTTAACCTCTCAGGTAGTTAGGATTACAGGCATGCACCACCAAAGTGTCACTAAGTTGCCTAGGTTGGGCTCAGACTTACATTCCTCTTGCCTTAACCTCTCAGGTAGTTAGGATTACAGGCATGCACCACCATGTCTCATTTGGACCTCCTTCCTGTAAGAAAAAAGGGTTGATATGACTGAAATAGCTCAGTTGGAAGAGCATTAGACTGAAGAAAAAAGCGTTGATAAAGGTTGAGTATCCTTTGTCCAAAATGCCTGGGACCAGAAGTGTTTAAAATTTTTTGGAGTCTTTTTCAGATTTGAGAATATTTCTCTAGACTTTACCAACTGATCATCCCTAATCCAAATTCCAAAACTTTTGGAGGATCTTGGAGTATCTTGGAGCATATGGGACTTTGAATTTTCAATTAGGAAAATTCAGTGTGTGATATCAGCTGCTAAGAGAATGAAATGAATTCAAGAATATGAAGCATATAGTAGGTACTCAGTAACTACTTTTCTTCCTTTCTTCTGTCCTCCCTCACTTTTCTCCTCCAATCAGTGCTAAACCCATGGTAAGGACCACAGACAACCTGAAGTACTGCATTGTAACAGGCACAAAAGAGAAAGAAAGTTCCACTGCTTAGAGTTGCCCCTCTACTAGGTGTGGGCAGACATTGACCAGGCAGACAGATGACACACAGGCTTGTTTCAGGTGCAGATAAGAACTGAAGCAGTTATGTGATAGTAAATGGGTAGGCGGAGAGTACTCCACAGACCCAGGGAGATATTTGAATCTGAGAATGGAAGACACCCCTTGTAGTGTTCCTATCCCCAAGCGCGCACGCGCGTGCACACACACACACACACACGCACGCACACACACACACCCTTCTGTGTAGATTTCTGTAACCATTGCTGATGAATTTGAGGAGATGTTTAGCAGAAGGGTCCCCAGTCTTTGTTGGCTCTTAGCATACTATCTTTTAGGCATCACGTTATGTCTCTCTCTGTCTTAAAACCAGGGTTGCCATTGAACTTGCATGTTCGAAGGCTTAGTTCATGGACTGAGTTGGAGTTTGAGGGAGAATGTGTAGGTAATCAGCAAAGAGTCTGTGTCGCTGGCAGCAGTCAGAGCCATCAGTGGGTGGGACTTGGATCAGGGACAATGGGGGCCACCCTATGACCTGTGCTCTTTGTGAGCACTGCCTGATGGCCCCTGCAGCTTTGTGCTGAGCCATCCAAATGGCTGGCATTCCCTTTCCTTCCTGAGCTGCGTGTCACTTCCTCCATGTGTCTTGCAGTTTCTGATGCACTATTTTAAGCATCAGACAAATTATCTGAGAGCTCAATAGCTGTCAAAAGGAAAGGACTGTAATGAGACTCATGTGGGATGGAGTTATGGTGGAGACCTTGCTGAGCAGTGTAAACTCTCTGTGTCTCTGTTTTTTCATCCAAAAAATGGGAGTGATGACAGTTCCCTTGGAACCATGAGTCAGATGAACTGCTGCAAAATTCCCAAAATGGTGTGGCAAGTCATAGAAACTCGATAACTGAATGACATGCTGTGTGTATGTTATTTAAAAAAACAACTCTCTTGGAAGGAGAAGTTGTGTCCAAAGTAGATTTTAAAGCTTTATATGCACACTGAAAAGCAAAACAAAAACAAAAAAATCTACCCAAGCATCGAGTAGACCCTAGTTGCTACTGAAGACTTAAATAGATTTAGTAAAATAAAAATCTTTACCTTTCATATGGGTCTAGATTGCCATTTTTCTCCTTTTTATTACTTTAACTGTTCAGAGTGGAAGTATTTGCTGCTGGACCATCTCGTTGGAGCTGTTGTTTGAAAGTAGCCGTAACCTGTCTTTCTGGTCAATAGCCTCAGTTGGATTGCACTTTGGATGAAGAATATTCTCTATAGGAGGTAATAATAACTTGGGTATAGAAGAAATCTCTCTGTCTCTTCTACCCTCATTGAAGCTGGATGTGGAGGCACATACCTGTGATCCAGCATTCTTAGAGGCTGAGACAGGAGGATCACAAGTTTGAGCTCAGCAACATATTGACTTAGTGAAACCCTGTTTCAGAATTAAAAATTAAAAGGACTGGGGAATACAACTCAATGCACATGCCCTGAGTTCAATCCCCAGTGCTGCAAGGAAAAAAAATTCCTCATAAGTACAATTTTTGGGGTATAATGGCTAAACTGTGAAAGCCATAAGATTTAGTTGAAACTGTGGCATACTACTTATTAGTATTTATTATTTAACTAAGAGCCAGGCATTATGCTAAGTGCATTGCAACTAT